TCATGACTGGGATGGCGCTCCCTCTTGGGGCATAGAAAGATGATGATTCTGATGCTACTCTGTCGGATGGGGTTGCTAATCAGTTTGAGATGAAAAGTCAAGACTCAAGATCCTTTGATGACCCTCTCGGGTGGATCAGGGGGCCATGTCCGACAGGTGATTCACTATTTTGAGACTGGTGCACTCAACGCGAATGGTCCTGATGACCAGCGAAATGGAGCCGGGATGAGTATCATTATGAATGAATATGACTCAAATGCTACTGTCCCATGTATTGGTGGGAGGAAGCGCTCTTTGCGCGAAGTTGTGGGGACTATGGAAAAGAATCCTAACCTCAAAAGGCAGTTTTTGCAGGTCGGTGAAGAAGATGATCAGGAAACGGTGGAGGAAGCCACCCGAAATTGGCCCCAAGAGGATAAATGAGTCTCTTGGCTTGGAATGTGAGAGGAATTGGACCAGCCTTCACATTTCAAACTGCATTAGGATTAGTTCATTCAAATAAATCAGAGATCGTCTTCCTATCGGAGACAAGGTTGAGCCGGAGAGTTGTCTCCCGCCGTATGCGGGGTTTAGGATTTCAGCTTTCTCATTGTTTCTTTGTTGATGCAGTCAATGCATTAGGTTATCAAGTTGTAGCTTGATCCCCCGAAATTGATGTTTCGGTGATATACCATTCAAGTTTTTTCATTTGCATTCGTATTAATGAAGGAAATTTTTCTTATGTGTTGGTTTGTGTTTACATTAGCTGTAATGAGAAAATAAGAGCTAACCAGCTTGATCGCCTTTGACATACTTGTGATGAAATCCACCTACCCTATGTGGTCATAGGTGATTTCAACACCACGTTACATATGGGTGAAAAAGACAAGGAAAACCACTGGAATGCGGGTCAATTGATCGCTCTACGGAACTTCATACAGGACTTGGGTCTTCATGACCCTGGCTTCCAAGGAGATCAATTTACTTGGACGAATAAATGGATGGGTCAGGCCTGTATTCGTGAGAGGCTAGATCGTGCGCTTTGTTCTCAATCTTGGATTGATCATTACCCTGACACTCTTGTTAAACACTTCACTGGTCAAGCATCTGATCATAGGGCCCTTCTGTTGTACGATAAATCTTATCCTAGGAATAGTCGGCCACTATTTCGGTTTGACGCTCGGTGGGCGGATAACCCATAGGTCAGGGCTATGGTGAATTACGTGTGACGCGAGGAAATCCATGACTCTCTAATGTACAAACTCTGGACCAAACTGAAGAAACTCCGCCATTTGTTGTATGATTGGAGTAGGGTGGGAACCACAAACTCCCTACACAACATCAAAACCCTCCAGGCTGAGATTGGACGCATCAAACAAATACCTCCAATTAATTTGGATGAATGCCAGTGTTGGAAGGGGATCTTAGCCGACAATGGGAGACAACAGAGATCTATTGGCAGCAAAAGTACAGAGTGCATTGGTTAAAAAAGGGTGATAAAAATACATCATATTTCCACACGGTCACACGAGCCAGATGGAAATGAAACTTTTTGACTCCTCTCAGGAATGAAGATGGTAATTGGATCACGGAGTAAAAAGGAAAGGCGGATATTGCCGTTGATTTCTATCAAACTCTATTCGCCTTGGAGACTCATGTTCTGAACATGGGAGCTAGGGTGGATGGCTTACCGCTTTCGCGGAAAGTAACAGATGATATAAACGCGCGCCTCTCAGCTGAAGTCCAACCCATCGAAGTACGCCGTACGGTCTTCTCTATGGGATCAACTCAGGCGCCTGATCCTGATGGTTTTACTGGGAATTTTTTTAAATCTTTTTGGGATATTGTAGGAGAGTCTGTGGTAGAGGCTGTCTGCTCGCTCTTCCGGACGGGACGGATATTACGGAGCTTCAATCATACTTGCTTACTTGGATCCCAAAAGTCGATAATGTGGAATCAATTTGTCAATTGTGGTAATTTAGCCTATGCCAGTTTGCGTATAAGATTATCACAAAAGTCATGACTGAAAGGCTGGCCCAAATTGTAACACCAAGATAATTTAGATTTAGGTTCGACCTTAATACGTGATCGGTTGGTTTGATGGTTACGTACTAAGAGTTGCAACCGCGGATTAGGAATAATAATAATAATAATAACTATTATTATTATATTATTAAAACAAAAAAATAGTGGGGCGGCGGACTCATCCTTTCCTCTCTCAAGTTCCGGCTTCCAAGAGCAGCCGCTCAAATCCCAGCCGTTGCACGATCATTAAGGGAAATAAACCCTCGCCCATCCCTTTCCTCTCCCCGTAACAGACCTGAGGCTACCGCAAGCAATGAGTTGAGAGAAATAGAGAGAGTGGGGGCAGATGACGACCCTGTGAACATCAATGCAGCAAGGTGGGTACTCAAAGAGCTCTCATTGGTGGAGAGACAACAGGCAAGGTGTCAGCCTTCTTTGAAGGGTTTTACGCCACGGAGTACTCTATTTCCTCAGAGATCCTGCCGATCCAAACTACAATCCATTCCGTGATTTAATTGATGATCTTGTGCACAAGCATGGGCGTAGGGTACTCTTGTCTGTTGCTATGTATGGAAGTTTGATTGTGATGCTGGTATTTTTGCCCGTCAAACTTGCCATGCGAATGGCACCATCGATGATGCAAGAGCCACTATACAAACCTGGAAATCGATAGTTGTCAATGAGTCCATGTCTTCGAGACAAATTGATGGTAGGCGATGAGATGTCGAGGACATCGTACGAGATAGCTCAGCTCGAGCTAAGCTGAGAGGGGCGCAATTGAGAGCCACCACTGACCTGCTGGCGTGTTGCATATGGGGGTGACAATTGGTTCGCAGGTCCTTAAAGTCAGCGGTGGTTTGGGTGGCTACATGGCTATGGATATACGATCAACTTCAGTCAAAATCAAGGACCGGGTATTTGTGGATTTTATGGTTAGCTCAAGCATAATCGAATTGGTTAATAAGGTGAGTGTAAAGGGGGTAAAATCTTTGTCGCAGGTCTTTTAGTTTATGCTTTTCGTTCAAGTTATTAATTAGTTAATTTTTGAGTAATGTGCGATATGTGTGTGAGGCATCTCACCGCCTGTAAGGGTGGAGGCACGCGTTGTGCTATGTATGAATGTATGAGTGTATGATTGTAATAGTTGGTTAATGGTAAGAGGAACCCCCGGGCGGTTGGGCCACTACTGGACGCGGTAGATGGTTGGGTCACTGCTGGACAGCGAGACGTAACGTAGCCGTTGATCGAGTATGTTGGGTCACTACTGGACGGCAAGACGTAACACAGTAGTTGACGGGCATGGACTGGACGACGAGACATAACGCGGTTGGCATACTAGTGTAGGGACACCGGACGACGAGACGTAACGCGATGGTCCCTTGTGTTGGTGTCTTTGGATTAAGAATATAAGTAAGGAAACTCTAAAGATAAGATCGGAGTAGAGATCTCTTATAGACTGTTTGAAAGTAAAGTTTATAGGATGAAAGTGAGAACGACTTTCATCTAAGGAAGGCATTCCCCTAATAATGTGTTTAGTAAGGAGTTTGCCTAGGGCAAAGACCTTAGGAAGTAACGACGAGACTGACCCCTTCTCACTCACCAGGTTGAGGATAGTCTAGCAGAAGTGGATCACGAGAAGAAGCAGGGCGAGGCGAGCAGTTAGTTATTCTGTTTCATGGTTATTAGTATAAACTGGAGATTCTGTGTTAAGTCGTTTTAAGAGTTTGAGATTGAAAATTTTGCCCAAGTGTTGGGGCTTCTCGTTGAAAATTCTTAAATAATGTCAGTTTGTTTATTTTAAAATGTGGTTGGGGTTGCTCCGGAGTAACCGGTTTTGGTTTGAGTTGTGGTTTGGTTTTCAAAAAGATGGGGTCTTGTCATTTTGGTATCAGAGCCGGCACTCCTCTGTTCCTTGGCCTCCAAGGAATACTGGAGTGACGATCTCCGTTTTTAAGGTTTCAGTTTTTAAAAGGAAAAGAAAAAGGGAGTGCCAGTTAAAAGTTTGGCCGAACGAGTCAGAGTCTTTCGGAAATTTTTAGAATCTCCAGTATACTCTAATCATGATAAGGAAATAACTTTAGGATGCCCCATGGGGGTATTATCCGTCTTGGGAAGGAGAAGGAGCAGGTTCCGAGAGGGATCGTTTAGTGAAACCCCTTCATGAGTGAGAAGAGGAGGGTCAAGGTAGCTCATATTCTATGGGGATGAGAGCTGATCAGAATAAGGTTCTGGAAGGAGCCAAGCAGTTAGTACATTGACTGGTAGAGCCAAGGAGTTATGGCAAATGTCGCCATAATCGAGAGGAAAGGGTGCAAGGAAGGGTCGTGGAGTATAGGAGAATTGAACATAGGTCTACAACCCCAAGGAGCAGCTGAAAGTTAGACTTTGAAAAATACTAGGACCACCTAAGCAAGCAAAGGAAGAACTAAGTATATCATAGGGAGTCTAACCAGATGTCATGGGATCAATACATCAAGGCTAGAAAAAGGTACAACTCCTTGCAAAGAGATTATCACAAGTGAAACTTGGAGTCGTCAAAATGAACAAATTTCGAGGTCGAAATTTTTCTTAAGGAGAGGGGGAAATGTGATGTCTCGATTTTGGATTTAGGTTCAACATCAACTACCAGGAGAATTGGATCAACATGACAAGCCGAATAGGCATTTTGTTTCACCATGTATGGATCAAGCTGGGGAGTAAAAAGGGCAGTGAGACACTTATGGTTGCACGAGTGCTGCAAGCTAAGGAAAAATATATGAGCAAAGGGTACCAACGAAGTGGTTATGGTAAGAATAGATGAGCGTGGGAAGGAAGTATATAAGGGTGTTGATCAAAATGATAAATTTCGAGCAAATTTCGGGAACGAAATTTGTGTAAGGGTGGAGGAAATGTAACACCGCGATAATTTAGATTTAGGTTCGACCTTAATACGTGATCGGTTGGTTTGATGGTTACGTACTAAGAGTTGCAACAACGGATTAGGAATAATAATAATAATAACTATTATTATTATATTATTAAAACAAAAAAAAATAGTGGGGCGGCCGACTCATCCTTTCCTCTCTCAAGTTCCGGCTTCCAAGAGCAGCCGCTCAAATCCCAGCCGTTGCACGATCATCAAGGGAAATAAACCCACGCCCATCCCTTTCCTCTCCCCGTCACAAACCTGGGGCTACCGCAAGCAATGAGTTGAGAGAAATAGAGAGAGTGGGGGCAGATGACGACCCTGTGAACATCAATGCAGCAAGGTGGGTACTCAAAGAGCTCTCATTGGTGAAGAGACAACGGGGAAGGTGTAAGCCTTCTTCGAAGGATTTTACGCCATGGAGTACTCTATTTCCTCAGAGATCCTGCCGATCCAAACTACAATCCATTCCGTGATTTAATTGATGATCCTGTGCACAAGCATGGACGCAGGGTACTCTTGTCTGTTGTTGTGTATGGAAGTTTGATTGTGATGCTGGTATTTTTTCCTGTCAAACTTTCCATGCGAATGGCACCATCGATGATACAAGAGCGGCTATACAAACCTGGAATCGATAGTCGTCAATGAGTCCATGTCTTCGAGACAAATTGATGGTAGGCGATGAGATGTCGGGGACATCGTACAAGATAGCTCAGCTCGAGCTAAGCTGAGAGGTGCGCAATTGAGAGCCACCACTGAGCTGCTGGCGTGTTCCATATGGGGGTGACAATTGGTTCGCAGGTCCTTAAAGTCAGGGGTGGTTTGGGTGGCTACATGGCTATGGATATGCGATCAACTTCAGCCAAAATCAAGGACCCGGTATTTGTGGATTTGATGGTTAGCTCAAGCATAATCGAATTGGTTAATAAGGTGAGTGTAAAGGGGGTAAAATCTCTGTCGCGGGTCTTTTAGTTTATGCTTTTCGTTCAAGTTATTAATTAGTTAATTTTTGAGTAATGTGCGATATGTGTGTGAAGCATCCCACCGCCTGTAAGGGTGGATGCACGCGTTGTGCTATGTATGAATGTATGGGTGTATGATTGTAATAGTTGGTTAATGGTAAGAGGAACCCCCGAGCGGTTGGGCCACTACTGGACGCGGTAGATGGTTGGGTCACTGCTAGATGGCGATACGTAATGCAGCAGTTGATCGAGTATGTTGGGTCACTACTGGACGCCGAGACGTAACACAGTAAATGACGGGCATGGACTGGACGGCGAGACGTAACACAGTTCCATTGCCGAGTTTGGGTATGCAACCGGACGGCGAGACGTAACGCGGTTGGCATACTAGGGTAGGGACACCGGACGAAGAGACATAATGCGGTGGTCCCTTGTGTTGGTGTCTTTGGATTAAGAATATAAGTAAGGAAACTCTAAAGGCAAGATCAGAGTAGAGATCTCTTATAGACTGTTTGATAGTAAAGTTTAAAGGATGAAAGTGAGAACGACTTTCGTCTAAGGAAGTGATAACGATGTAATTGCACATATTTGCGCCCCTAGTTCTTATCCGTTTGAGGGGCATAGTCGTGTATTTTTGGCCTATTTTACGCCGGGTTGTGATATTTTGTCATATTTCAGGTTCCAGGTGTCAAAGGAAAGGCGAAGCACGAGTTTCGGGGCATTCGGAAGTCATTTCGTCGAGCTGGAGCCAAAACACGGGCACACCTAAAACAGAACACGGCCGTGTTCTGTGGCCGTGCTTTTACTGCCGAGAGCTAATTCGAGTTTGGCAAACATTGGCTAAAAACACGGGCAGGGCTTAGACAAAGCACGGTCGTGTCCACCAAAGCACGACCGTGTCCATCATCAAACACGCCCGTGTTTCTCCCAACTCAGTGGCCGTGTAATTAACCCTAGCCAAAGCACGGGCAGGCTGAGGCATTACACGGCCGTGCCCTCGACCGTGCTTTTGCCACTGATGCCCTTTTAAGCAGATTTCAGCCAAAACAGAAGGGGATTCGAGTTTTAGAGAGACAGAGCGATTCCTAGAGAGAGAAAGTGACGAACAAGAGTCTCCAAGTGCCCTAGCTTGATCTTCATCACCATTGGAGGCCAGTTTGAGCTTGGAGAAGTGCCGATCAACGTCCAGGAGCAGGAATCCTCCTTCACAGTATGAATTCCGCGTCTGATTCTGCTTTTGCTTCTTTCTCCATGGAGTAGTTCTCCCGTTCATCTGGGTATGGAGAACCCTAGATTTGTATGTTAGGCTTTGATTGTATGAACCCAAGTACTGATTCTATGATTTGATTATATTCGATTGAGGTTTGAATGATTGAATGACTTGAATCCTGATCAAATTCCTGTTGTTTCTGCGTTAACCTAGAATGAGAATATCTGCCTAGGTTGATAGAGCATCCTTAATTGCAGGTAGGGAGTTGGTGACTTTAGTCGAGGAGCCAACTCACTATTTTGTACCGGATTTACTCCGGTAGTGGAGGTTTTGTTTGTTAAGGCCTCAATCTGTTTACTCCGGTGGAGGTTAGTCGCCCGCTAGAGACTCAGATTGAGAGGGTCTGAAGACCTTTAGTCGAGACTTCAGGCTGCTTAAGAACCTTCCGCAGTATAACTATCATAGAAACTGAACTTGGTAATTACAATCCGGATTAACTGTAGTCTAGGGGGAACCATATCCGGGTGACCTCTCTTAACCTGAATACAACAATTTACTTGCTTTGTTAGTTTGTTAGTTTAGACTTGCTTAAAAGTTTCATTGCTAGATAACAAGAATTCACCGAGTAGTAATCAAATCTAGGACTCGGGTTAACATTTAAACCTAAACCCGCTATACTACACTTTAGGAAGTGGTTTCAATTGGCCAATTCCTGGAGTGACAGTAGAAGTGAGTCAAGTTTTTGGCGCCGTTGCCGGGGACGGCTAGGTTGTTGAAGAAAAGTGATTTCTGTTAATTTAGCTTTTCTTTTTGCTTTGTTTGCTTTGTCCCACTTGTGCCTTCACGGGTTCGCTTGCTTGTGTGTGTGCAGGTAGTGCATGACCCGTAGCCAGTCAGGAGGTTTACTGCCGTTGAATCCAGAGATTGATCGCACCTGTTGCCAGCTCAGGAGACAACAGCGAGCTAGACTGGCTACGGAAGAGTGCGTAGACGGCCAACTGAGTAGCGATTCTGAAGAAGAGTACGGGATGGACAGAGACTACAATCAGCACCAGGGGAATCCTCAGCAGGTTCCCCCGGTGAATCAGGTCCTGGGGAACAACCCCATACCCCAGGATCATGGGGTTCATCATCATCACCCGCCGCCGGGTCCCACCTTGGAGTACTACTACACTCCTCAGATTGCTGACATCCGCCCGGTCATCCTCTACCCGCCTATTCCAGCAAACAACTTCGAGATCAAGCCATGCTGGATTCAGCTCATCACATCTTCTATCCAGTTCCATGGCTTGAAGGATGAGGAGGCCAGGGTGCATCTTTCCCGTTTTCTGCAGCTGAAGAACGGGTTCAAGCTGAATGGTGTCCCTGATGATGCAATCCGCCTTCATCTCTTCCCCCATTCTCTGGCGGCCAATGCTATGAGGTGGTTGGAGACCCAGCCCCCATTGTCCATCACCTCTTGGGACGATCTGGCTGACAAATTCGTGCACAGGTACTATCCGGCATCGAAGACTACAGAGATCCAGCGGGAGATCACTCACTTCCGCCAAGAGCCAGATGAGTCACTTCGTGATGCATAGGAGCGGTACATGGGATATTTCTGGCAGTGTCCCCATCATGGCTTTAGTGATGCATTCACAGTGGGGAACTTCTACAGTGCCTCTCTCTCCAGATAGCTAGAGGGTGATTGAGTCTCTATGCTCAGGAGGGGATATTCTTACTAAGACTCCACCCGAGCTGAACCAGATGATCAATACCTTGGCTGCCAGAGATCATTCTTGGGGATAGAGCAGCAGAGGCAGACATTCCCAGGACCGTGGTGTACACGCCATGGAGACCAGATCCGCGCTCGAGCAGCAGGTAGCTGAGCTAGTGCAGACATTGAAGCAGCCCAACAGTCTTATTCCGGGCAGAGGTTTGGCTACACCTCCAGTTGCTCAATGTCAGTGGTGTGAGAGCTCGAGTCACTTAGTGGAAGACTGCCAGGCTATGAGGGAGTCTACTACTCCCCAAGAGTAGTTGGACTTCATCGCCAATGCTCGGCGCCTCGACCCGTACAGCAACACATATAATGAGGGGTGCCGCCAGCATACCAACTTCTCTTGGGGCAGCAACACCGCTAAGCCACCTGGTTTCCCAGCACCAGCTGGTGGCTTTCAGCAGAGGCAGCCCTTCCAGGCTCGACAGGGGCCAGCCCCACAGCAGCAGCCCTACCAGCCTAGGCAGGGGCAACCATTCCAGCAGCCCCAGCGCCAGTTTGCCGAGCCAGCAGCAGCTCTGGCTCCGGATACTCAGATGACGAAGCTGGAAAATATTCTAGCTTCATTCATGACTAGCACTCAGGCAGCTATCACGTCACTGGAGGCAGGTCAGAGGAACCAGGGTGCCATCTTGCAAGATCTGCAGAACCAGGTGGGTATCTTGGCCCGCCAGAACACTACCAGGGCACCGGGGACTTTGCCTGCCACCACTGTTCTGAATCCTCGTGATCCTCACCAGCTCCAGCAGCTTGATGCCATCACTACCAGGAGTGGCAAGACCACATCAGCTGCTCCTGCCCAGCCCAGTCGAGATGAGCCACTACCTGCTTCAACACTCCCAGCTGATACTGTAGAAGTGGGGGAAGACACAACAACGCCTGCTCCCAAGCCACAACCAGTGGTTAAGGAGCATGTACCTCAGCTTCCTTTCCCCACTCGCCTGCATAAAGACAAGCTGGAGACTGAGTTTGCCAAGTTCATGGCAATGTTGAAGCAGGTCAACATCAGCATGCCGTTCGTGGAGGCACTGTCAAAGATGCCCAAGTATGCCAAGTTCATGAAGGACCTCCTCACCAACAAGAAGAAACTTGGGGATCTTTCGACAGTGATGCTGAGCGAGGAGTGTTCTGCTATCCTGCAGAACAAGCTGCCCGAGAAGCGAAAAGACCCAGGGAGTTTCACTATCCCTCTTGTTATTGGCAGCATGCATGTAGGAAAGTCCTTGGCGGACCTAGGCGCTAGCATAAATGTCATGCCTTATAATTTGTTTAAGAAGCTAGGCCTAGGTGAACCTAGAACTACTAGGATGAGCATTCAGTTAGCTGATTGTTCTATCGTGCATCCTAGGGGTATCATTGAGGACTTGCTTGTTAATGTGGGTGCATTCACATATCCTGTTGACTTTGTTATTTTGGATATAAATGAGGATGTGGATGTACCTTTTATTTTAGGTAAACCGTTTCTCGCCACCGCCAAGGCGCTTATTGATGTGCATAGTGGTAAATTGATTCTGCGTGCTGGTGATGAACAGGCTACCTTTTCTGTGTCTGAGAATGGGAAACACTCTCATTTGCATGATGACATAGATTACTGTGATATGCTTGCTGATTTTGAGACCGCACTCGCTATAACGAGTGCGGGTACTGACGATGTTCTTGAGCGTTGTATTTTGCTAGGTGTGCAGGCATCGTAGGAGCCGCAGCTGGCGGAACAGTTGGCCGAGCTGGAGAGTGGCCCCTTCTTGGAGGGCGACAGGCTGTTCAAACCGATCTCATCCTCCACCCGCATCGCTACTTCCTTGGAGGAACCACCAGAGCTGGAGCTTAAGCCCCTCCCTCCTCATTTGGAGTATGCATTAATCCGGGAGGGGAATAAGCTGCCAGTCATCATCAGCTCGACCCTCACACCCGAGCAGAAGACCAGACTGGTGACCTTGCTGAAGCGGTACGAGCGAGCTCTCGCATGGAAGATCACAGACATCCGGGGGATCAGCCCTTCTTTCTGCTCCCACTGGATACTGATGGAGGATGAGATGCGACCAGTGAGACAGCCGCAGAGAAGACTGACACCGAACCTGGAGGCTGTGGTTCGGGCAGAGATCGTGAAGCTGCTGGACGCGGGGATCATCTTCGCCATTTCCGACAGCGAGTGGGTCAGTCCCACCCAGGTGGTACCCAAAAAGGGTGGGATGACTGTGGTGCCTAATGAGAAGAATGAGCTTATCCCGATGCGCACGGTGACTGGGTACTGTGTCTGCATTGATTACCGGCGTCTCAACGATGCCACTTGGAAGGACCACTTCTCGCTACCATTCATTGATCAGATGCTGGAGAGACTGGCGGGGCACGAGTTCTACTATTTCCTGGATGGGATGTCCGGGTACTTCCAGATCCCTATTGCACTGGAGGACCAGGCGAAGACCACTTTTACCTGCCCCTTCGGCACTTTTTCCTACCGGAGGATCCCATTCGGGCTATGCAATGCCCTGGCCACTTTTCAGCGATGCATGCTCGCTATCTTTGACCGTCTGGTCGGCGAGATTATGGAGGTGTTTATGGACAATTTCTCGGTTTATGGAGACTCATTTTCTCACTGTCTCCATAACCTGGAGCTTGTCCTTAAACGGTGTGAAGAAATGAACCTGTCACTGAGTTGGGAGAAGTGTCACTTCATGGTTCGAGAAGGCATAGTTCTTGGGCATAAGATCTCCAAGATGGGGATTGAGGTGGACAGAGCGAAGATCGAGACTATCAGCAAGCTGCCTCCTCCTACATCTGTTAAGGGGATCCGGAGTTTTCTTGGTCATGCAGGGTTCTACAGGCGATTCATCAAGGATTTCTCGAAGATTGCTTTGCCCCTGACTAAGCTTCTAGAGAAGGATGCCCCCTTCCAGTTCACTGATGCATCCACAGCGGCTTTCACGACCTTGAAGGAGAAGCTCACACAAGCTCCTATCATGGTTGTTCCTGACTGGTCCCTGCCATTTGAGATTATGTGCGATGCCAGTGACTTTGCTGTTGGAGCTGTGTTGGAACAGAGGCGAGATCAGCATTTCCGACCTATCTACTACGCCTCGAAGACCTTGAATGATGCCCAGGAGAACTACACCACCACGGAGAAGGAGCTGCTCGCGGTGGTGTTTGCCTTCGATAAATTTCGTCATTATCTGGTCTTGTCCCATGTGACCGTGTATACAAATCACTCTGCGATTCGATACTTGATGAGCAAGGCTGAAGCCAAGCCTAGGCTCATACGATGGATCTTACTGCTGCAGGAGTTTGACATTGAGATTCGGGACAAAAAGGGAGCGGAGAATGTTGCTGCCGATCACCTCTCCCGGTTGGACGCACCCCCTGCGGACAACCTCGAGGAGGAGATCAATGACTCCTTTCCAGATGAGAGACTGATGATGATGTGCCTGGTGGAGAGTGTCACCCCCTGGTATTCTGATTTTGCAAATTATCTTGTGGGCCAGCAGCTGCCCAAGGGGATGACAACTCACGCCAAGAGGAAGTTTTTCTCCGACCTGAAGTACTACTTCTGGGAT